GAAATGACCAGGCAGGTGGTCTGCTCACCTTGGCCTGTTTGAGGAACCGCAGGAAGCCGAGTTCTTCTGGCCGCAGGATGAGGAGGGCGTGGCCTCGGCCATCGATGCCTCTGGCGGTTCGACCCACCCTGTGGATGTACTCCTGTGGGAGAAAAAACAACCTTAAAATTAGTCCTGTTCTGGAGATTTTTGATCCAACTCAATAATTTAACATGACAAATACTGCATATGCAATTAAACCGCCCCCACTGCCCCCCCCAAAAAAAACAAACAACTTATTAACCTTGGGGTCATCTGGAGGGTCGTACTGCACGATCCAGTCCACCTCGGGGATGTCCAGCCCTCGAGCTGCCACGTCTGTGCACAGCAGGATGCCGGAGTCAGCGTTGCAGAACTGGAAGAAGGTGGTGGTACGTTTGGTCTGCTTTTGTTTGCCCTGCGAAATGAAACAAAGCAAAGGAACGCTCAGAACAGCTGCAGGTCAACATCTGCTCACCGGCACCCTTCAAATATCAAAGGATAAAATAAAACAAAAGAAAAACCATTTGCTTCCAACATCAGCCAACTTATTTTTCACAGGTACAACCAAAGAACTTTAACTTTTAGAGGCTCAGTTTTTTTTTGACCACTTGTATATTTAGATAAGAGTCATGTGAGCTGCGCCTGGAGAACTTACGTGGATGGCCATGACGGGCAGGTCGATGTAGTTGAGCAGTTCATAGTGGAATTTCACAGACATGCAGGAAGAGAAGAAGACCATCAGCTTCTTCTTGCGGTTCTTCTTCAGGAAGGTGAATAGCAGCAGGAAGCGCTTCTCTGATGGACACACCACATAGCCCTGAAACACGAGAGAGAGATCGATCACTGCATCAGCAACGAGAAAGAAGACGGAGTTCTAGCTGTTTCTGTGATTTGAGACCATCTAGTAAAACTGATGTGATTTCATGAAATACTGAAAGGATTTCAGTAGAAAGGATGAAAGGGAAACTGGCTTCTTTGGATTCGGCCTGTATGCAACAGTTTATGACTGAGTACCTGCTCGAGGCCGTCGACTGTGGCCTTGTCTTTGTTGTCGTCCACCCCGACATACAGGGGCTCCTTTTTCAGGGAGATGCGAGCCAAGTCCTCCACCTTCCTTGTCTGAGTGGCTGAAAACAGCATCGTCTGCCTCCGCTCTGAGAAACATCAACGAGAGATAGTAAACAGAACAGGTGAGAGGGTTTAACAACATCTGGAGTTTTAAGAACTCTCTCGGGATATTTTACACTCAGAGTTAGGATTTGATCCAAGATCAGCTAATCCTGGTAACACTGGTCGGGTTTTTTTCAGCTCTTCAAAGCCAATGACAGATGTTTGAGGGTTGTGACGATGTTCGGAATTTTTTTGCTGAAAACGAATTAAACTAAAAGCTTTTAGAGAGTTTAGGGCAGTGGAGAGCTCATCTACTGTTTCAGAGAAAGCCAAGGCACATCAAAGAAATGAGAATAAAACATTTACAATACAAACAGATGTGCAGAAAGAAAAGACAGTTTTGAAAACGGGTATTTTGGATTTTTTTTTTGCTGACTGATTAATGAACAGGAACTAATCATCTCTGTCTTTATAAAACAGGAAGCTGCTTCATGTCACAGGTTAGTGGTCAGTTTTTTAAATAGAAAAGCAGGAAACCCCACATTTCTCTTTATTTACATGTGATTCACTTCCTCTTTTAGAGTAAAAAGAAGCAGCACCTCTCTCTCAAAACCACGACTGGTGTTACACCAAAGGGTCACAATGACACATTATTGGCTCTACCTGAAACATTTTTTTTTTTAACTGGACTGATTCCAGAGTGTTCGATGTCACTAAGGTCCATGATTTAAATGTGTTTATACTGAACAAAAATGCTCATGAGTTGGTTTGACTTTGCTGCTTTGGAAAAGTTTTTTGTGCCAAATCATCAACTAAATCAAAGTTCATAAATTTGTCACTATTGGGTTTATTGATACGTCCACTGATACATACTCGGCAGCAGTTTGATGATCTGCTTTAGCTCCTCCTCGAAGCCCACCTCCAGGATCCGGTCGGCCTCGTCAATAATCAGACACTGCAGGTTCTTGTACATGAAGCCGGATGTGTTCTGTAGACGTGGAACAAACCACTCAGACGGTGTTCTTCTTAAAGTATTAAAAATGAGAAGGAAGAACAGAGGATTTTGTTTCTGCTCACCTGCAGGTGGTCCAGAAGGCGTCCGGGTGTGGCCACCACGATGTTGACGCCGTTGGCAAGCTTCTGGGCCTC